GTATTTGTAGTAATTGACAAATTTATAAACTTTCTTCTTCATGGTAAGTCAAAGTTTTTTTTTTTTTTCCAGGAAATCCTGAGATTCTCCAGCAGTAATAAAATAAAATGCATTAAAAAACACATACCACATCATTTAACCTTGCACACCCACTTTTGGTCATGACTCTGCAAATGCTATCTAGTCTGCAGTCTTCCAGAACTGTCTGGGTCACTTGCCTCCACCCCAAGTATCCCCTGGGACAATAATAACAACAACGACAATAGCTAATATTCACTGAGCGCTTACTATGTTCCGGACATTGTTCTAAGTGCTTTATTTTTTCTCTCTTGGGTAGCAAGAGTTTACCTGAAAGGATTAGAAGTGATAATATTCAAGCTTTGAAAACGTACAAGACCACTGTAAATTATATTCATTTCCATATGGCAACTTAGCCTAAAAGGACAATGCAAGAAGTTTCCTTTTGCTTACTCTGATGCAAAGGACTAAAGATTTTTCCAAGACTAAAGAAGAGGTTCATTCTTATTTTAAATATATTAAGATATGGCATTGTATAATTAATAACCTGGCTTCTCACTATCAGGTAATTACCCAGAGTAACCAGAGTACTTCCGGTTCTGAAATCATATTACTAACAGATGGGGAAGACAGTCAAATAAGCTCATGCTTTGAGGAGGTAAAACAAAGTGGTGCAATCATCCACACCATTGCTCTGGGACCTTCTGCTGCCAAAGAACTAGAGACTCTGTCAAATATGACAGGTAAACCTTTGGAATGTAGTTCAGATAGAAAATAAATTTCTATTCTCTCTCATTCCAAGGCCTCTTTCTCCTTAAACTATAAAGCTGCTAAAAAAATTTATCCTAAAAATTAATCTTTGTCCCTACCTTGTCAAATTCAAATTCTTTCCCCCCCCACTTCTTAATATACCAGCTTCTTCTAATATACTCAACATTTGCTGTCCTCATTCATTCCTCCCCCACTTTCTGCCAAGATCACTAAAAAGAAACTTCTTTCTCTATGATTACTCAACTGCAAGTCCAAAAGTATTGCTCAATTCCAAAATACCACTTAATCCCACAGTAGAGATTTAGACATCCCTCTTTTACAGATGAGGAAATGGAAACCTATACAGTACAAATGATTTGCCCCAGGCCATAGAGTCCTAATTACCAGTTCTGAGCTCTTTCCATCATCCCACCCTGCTTCCCGCCTCACCAAATCTTGTTAAATCTTAGTTTGGAATATTTCTGTATTTCCCCTTTCTATCCAGTCCTACTACCACTATTACAATCCACAACCCTTTCCTAGGTTACTTCAATGACCTTCCAGCTGATCTTTCTGCCACTTATTAATTCAATAAATATGTATCGATGGCTATATTTGTAGCAGTCGCTTGTGTTAATCCTTGCTTTCTGCAATCTATTTTTTCCTAACTCCTTATACTCAACTAATCTCTCTCTTCATTAACTTTTATATTATTTATTTTCTGTACTTAATCAATTTTACCTTATGCTAAGCAGCTGGCTCAGAAGAACTATCTTAAATTTCATTTTTATAACATTATTTAGTTCTTAGACCAGTTTTAGTAATGTGGCCGGACTTACATTTGATGATTGATTGATATAAAAACAATAAAATTTGGGCTGTTTTTTAGAGTTTCCTTCATTCTTATCTTGCCTATTTTGAACAAGGTTTTAGTTAATAGGATTACATCTGGGACACTGACATACTGAAAGTTCATAAGGTTCTGGGAAATTCATCTTTTGTGATTTTAAAAAGAAATTTTAAAATAGATTTTAAAGCATACGGATGACATCCCTATAGCAAATATAATTGTCCCATTTAAAATTCCATTTTAGGAGGACATCAGTTTTTTGCCAATAAAGACATAAATGGCCTTATTGATGCTTTCAGCAGAATTTCATCTAGAAGCGGCAACATCTCTCAGCAAGCTCTTCAGGTCAGTATATCAAAAAAATTCTTTGTTTTCTCACAGTTGTAATAAATTTCTATTATCCTAATTATTAACTCTTCTTTCTCTAATAAATAACTCTTTTGCCTAAAAATATTTCAGGTATGCAGAAGAAGAACATCCTTACTGAATTTGCTTTTCCATGACACAGCCACCTTTTCTTTTGAATTCTTCTATTCTTTATAATTATGTATGCTTTTTATTTGGAAAGTTCTTTAAAATAATCCTGTTATTTTAATTGAGATCTTAAAAACAAATTTAAAATTACTGTAAACTCTAAACTGACTAAACTTAGAAATTCCATTACCTATAAAAACAAACGGGTTTTATGTGTTTGTTATTTTTATTTATACAACAGTTGGAAAGTAGATCCTTGAATATTACAGGGAAGAAATGGATAAATGGTACAGTGCCTGTGGATAATACAGTTGGAAATGACACTTTCTTTGTTGTCACATGGACAATACGAAAGCCAGAAATTCTTCTTCAAGATCCAAAAGGAAAAAAGTATGATACCTCAGATTTTGAAGAAGATAAACTAAATATTCGATCTGCCCGTCTTCAGATACCAGGTATCGCAGAGGTAGGTCTATTCTTTTTCTCTATGCTTTGTTAATCAATTTCTATTTTTAAAAGATGAAAATAACACTGTCCATATTAAAACAATGACAGATCATCTGTCATAAAAAAGAAGTCAAATAAAATAATTAGGGATTCATATCCATACTGTTTACTAGTTTGTAAAATCAGATATTAAAAATCATTATTATTACTCTGCTTAAATTTCTAAACAATTTTATATTCCAAACGAGGAGTAGGAAAATATTACCAAAGCCCTCAAATAGATATTTTTGATTTTCAGACAGGCACTTGGATTTACAGCCTTCTAAATAAGCATGCCAAATCTCAATTGCTAACAGTGACAATGACCACTCGAGCAAGAAGCCCTGTCACAGTCCCAGTGATTACGACTGCTCATATGAGTCAAAATACAGCTCATTACCCTAGCCCAATGATTGTTTATGCACGAGTCAGTCAAGGATTTTTGCCTGTTCTGGGAATCAGTGTAACAGCCATTATAGAAACTGAAGATGGACATCAAGTAACATTGGAGCTCTGGGACAATGGTGCAGGTAATAAGAATCTGCATTGACTTCCACTAAACTTAAAATCCTCCTACAGTTCCATGACCTAGAAGTCAATATTTCCTGTGTTTGATAATGAACCGTACTTTAAAGTAAATTAAATTTAATTTTAATGTTTCTAAAATTTTTACTTAGTTATCTTGACAAGTCATAGCCACAAGCACATTTATCTTTTTTAAATTTTATGAACAACTTTACTTTTCCTATGAAAAAATGGACAGTTTTTCTCAATTTTCATTAATGTCAGTGTTCCACATGTGCTTTCTCCAGTTCAGTTATATTTTCCTTATTTTGATAAGTTTCTTTTATGAAAAAATAATAATAATAGTAACAACTATTATTAATTGAATGCCTACCATGAATCAGACTTTTCCAAAATCACGGAGTTAGCAAGTGGCCAAGCCAAAACTGTTTGATTCCAGGGTTCATGTAATTAAAACACTATGCTATACTATCTCCCAAATTGTTGACATCACCAGTGCTCATAAACAGTTATGATTGTCATTTTTACATTATTGTATAACTAATTATTACATTTCAATATCGAGGTGCTGATACTGTCAAGAATGATGGCATCTACTCAAGGTATTTTACAGAGTACCATGGAAATGGTAGATACAGTTTAAAAGTACATGCTCAGGCAAGGAAAAACGCAGCTAGGCTAAGTTTAAGACAACGACAGAACAAAGCTCTGTATATACCAGGCTATGTTGAAAATGGTAAGTAGCATTAAAATAGAAATGTGTCTATCGTTTAGGTAAATTGCATATGGCAAACATTGAAAATATAATGTCCTAAGGAAAACACAAGTATATAATGATATAATCATCTGTATGTTTCAAAATCATATTCGTATTAGTGGATCTAGAATAGACCTTTGTTTCTACATGTTTTGATCATATCCTTCTCAGTTCATTTGATTTACATTGAAAAAAAAAGTTACTGAGCACCTGCCATTTTGCAGGCACCGTGCTAGATGCTGGAGCTACAAAGGTAAATAAAACACAATCCTGGTCCTCAAAGAATTTGCATGAAATAGTAGAGATGGAAAAGTAAAAGATAGTTTTAACATAACATAATGTCTCCTCATGAATTTTAAAATGACATAAATAAAACAAGATTTTTTTTCACTAAAACCTGTTACTTTTTCAATGTCTGCCATCAATATTAACCCTCTACAACTTGAAGATCAACTTACCAGCTAAAGAATAGACATGACAGTATGAAAAGTGATAACATTTTTTTTTGGTAGGTAAAATTATACTGAACCCACCCAGACCTGAAGTCAAAGATGACATGGCGGAAGCTCAAGTAGACTACTTCAGTAGAGTAAGCTCTGGAGGGTCATTTACTGTATCAGGAGCACCTCCTAATGGTAATCATACTCATATGTTCCCACCTAGCAAAATTAGAGACCTTGAGGCTAAGTTTAAAAGCGATCATATTCAACTTTCATGGACCGCCCCTGGCAAGGTCCTCGATAAAGGAAAAGGTAAGTTTGAGATTATGTTTTAAAATATACTAAAACAGCAGTCCCTAACCTTTTTGACACCAGGGACCAGTTTCATGGAAGACAATTTTTCTAGGTGGGTGGAGCTCACTCAGGCGGTCATGTGTGTGATGGGGAGGGAAGCGGCTGTAAATACAAAAGAAGTTTCGCTCACTCGCTGGCTGCTTTCTGTGCATTCTTTTCTCCCTCCCAAGGAAAAGTTTTGAAGTATTTCTGTACTTGCGCAATTTCATTCATTTATTAACCTTCTGTTGAGTGTTCACACTATTATGTTCCTAAGAAATAATCCCTACTCTCAACATTCAATTGAATACAGAAGATACACAAGTAAACATAAATTCGAACAGTGTAATAAAATATGCTGTTGTAAACAGAATGATATAGCAGCCCATGGATAGGCCACAAACCTCTACTTGAGGATTGAGATCACAGGATATATCTTAAAAGGCTTCCCGGGAGAGACTATCCCTGACCTGAGTGGTGAAGAATGAGAGTAGTTAGCCAAGTTAGGTGAAGGTGACCCACAGAGAGATGTTCATGTGCATAAAAACTAATCTGTTTGAGAGGTTTGTTCATGGAGTTTGAATAAAGTACAAGCCCAAAATATCTCCTTTATTCAAAGTTCCTAATAATAAATAATAAACTGCCCTAATTCCTGAAATCTTAAATTACTTCTATCTTTGCTTTAAATTTAACTGGATTCAATCAATATTTATTGAATGCCTACCATATTCCAGTATTGTGTAGACTGGTAGATTATTATAGGATAAATCCAGTCTTGCTATTTTCCCTTTAAAGTGAGAAAATAAAAGCAATATGCAATATAGATATACGTAATATCTCAGAAATTGCCAGTGCTAAAACAGCAAGTATTCAGTACTTATTCTCCTGAGTTACAATAAACCCCTCATTGTATGCTTTCAAAATAAAAAATGCCTATTAATCTTTCACTCACTTTATAGCATTTTCAAAGCTGTAGTTCTTTTTATTATTATTATACAAGCAGAAAATCATTCAAAAGCCAGAGGAAACATAAAATAACCACAAACATATCTTTTTTTTTCACTGTTGAAAACTCTTATCATGATAGCTTCTGAAATACATTATTTTCGCATACTATGACCCCTAAACATATAGCAGAATTTTTAAAAAGTGAAAAATACCAATACTGCCACTGAAAAAGCCACAGATGAAATTACTTAACAAAATATTTAGTTCTAAAATCAGTTCAGTAAAGACCAAGCCTTCAGTTCAAGATTGGATTCATAATAAAAGTCTCTCATGCTGATTAAAGGAACTAAAAGTAGGAATAATGTATCATATATGGACACTGAGAGGGAAAAAAACACCACAAATGCCTAAAATAATGGGATCTAATCTTCCTCTTTCCTGTGACAAATAGGAAGGGGTAATAGTAACCATCAAATGTTATCTACAGGCATTGCAAAAGTAAGGTAGCAGCAATTATTTTAAAGAATAAATGAACTTCTATATAATCTCAAATGGAGCACTTAAATTATCTGGGACACAATGTCTATACTTGTCAAATATGCAAATTAGACTAGGTGACCTAGAATTACTAAAACAAGTAGATATAATTCTAATATTTTATGATTCTCTAATTCCATCATTTTTGGTATCAACTTAACAACTATATTATTGACCAATAAGTAATTAAGGAGATCAAATACATGCCCAACACGGTACCAAGTACCCTGGGTGATACAAAAGTAATATAACACGTAGTCTTCGCCCTTAAGAATAATAGGATATAATCAGAATGAAAAATTGAACCTCTACAAAGCAATCTGGAAAACTCCATTCCATGCAATAGGAGTTCATGGAAGAGAGTCATCAGGCTGAAAGAAATACTTGAATAAGACTTCATGAAATTGGGCCTTGGTTGGACCTTGAAGAATGAGTACAATTTGCATACACAGGGAGAGGGAGGTGCATTGCAGGGAGAAAAGGAACCAAATAGTACGACTGAGGTCAAGATGGCAAAATTTCACAATGGAATATTTGAATTAAAATAAGGAACTGATAGAAAGAAAGAAAGAAAGATAGACCCATCTAAATGGAATACAGAGTTTTGTAAAGAATAATAGAATGGATTGATAAGGCCTATTTATGGAGAAACTAAATTTTAAGCAAAGGGCCTGAATTTTTTTTTAAAAAAACCCACACTCTCAAAATACTTTCAATATTTCATGAAAAAATTAAAAATAAAGTCTTCACTTCAAAAAAGGACATTTGATGTTTTATCATTCATCACATTTCAGAATGTGAGAATATATTTTTATATCAATGACTCTGGCAGAGTTCTAAAAGCAGTGTAGAATGAAACATTTATGTCATCATCATCCTTTCCTTTCTGGATAAAGTAATAGCAATTACAATAGTTAATACTTCAAACATTTAGTAAACATTCACTAAATTGTGTTAAACATGTTTCATGCATTATTATATATAATTCCCACCACTAGAATAGTAGGTGAGCAATAAATATTTGCTAAATGAATTGAATAACTGAATCTCTATTTTACAGATTAAAATCTAGAGATAAGAAAGGTTACATAAACTTTGTTTTGCTACACACCTAGAAAGTGGTAGAATTAGAGTGCTAATCAAGGTCTGCCTAGCTCCTGAGCACATGTTTTACTAGTACACATCCCAGTCTCTCTGCTTCCTTTTAGTCTTTACCCTTATCCCTGTTTCCCACTCTATTTATCTTCTATTACTCCTTCTTTCAGCTTAATGAGAAATAATACAGAAGTGGGATACTGAATGCCTTCACTGTACTGAAACATTATTGTGTTCCTTGCTCTAAATGAAAAGGTGAATTCAGCTCCTTACATTACTCTTTCTAAAAACAAATCTAGATTCTTGGGTTTTAGCACTATATGATTTTGAATTAAATTTTTCTGGGATTTTATAACTGTACATTAAAAACAATAACTGTTCACATATTTGTCCTTAAAATAAAGAAGATGGAATAATGGGATTTCTATATCTAAAACCTAGTGTGCATTTCTGATAGGCTCCCAAATGTAAGGCAGTGTGGTGGCAGCAAGGCATCCTAGTGATTTTAATATTCATGAAGTATCTATTTGCTTTCCAGCTGACAGATACATTATAAGAACAAGTAAGGATTTTCTGGACCTCAAAGAAGATTTTGATAATGCTGCTTTAATAAATAGTTCTGGTCTGATACCTAAGGCAGCTGGCTCAAGAGAGAATTTTGAATTTAAACCAGAACCTTCTAAAAGAGAAAATGGCACCAAATTCTATATTGCAATTCAAGCCATCGGTGAAGACAATCTCACCTCAGAGGTTTCTAACATTGCACTAGCAACTAAGTTTATTCCTCCACAGAAACCCAGTGTGCCTGCTCTGGGTACCAATATTTCTGCAATCAGTTTAGCAGTTTTGGGATTAGCTGTTATTTTATCTATATTTTAAACTAGAAATTGTATTAGAACTAAAATTCGATGTTATACATATTTGGTAAACATTTATTGTCTATTATAAAACTTCATAATATAAAAGTGAATGTATGAATGTTATAAATTTCCTAATTACTTGAATTAATACTAATTGAATTGCTAAATATAAATCAAAATGAGTATACCATTTCCTGTCTTTGAACAATCCATTAATTTTTAATATGAAAAGAAAATGTATATTTGTACTTGTGAGCTTTTTAAGAAACATTTTCAAAGTATGCTACAAAATCATTCTGTATATTAACAAATTGAAATGTATCCAAGCCATTTAAAAAATATTCATATACATATAGCAGCAAATGTTTTTATGGTATAATTACTTGTATTCCATTCTTGATTATGAATGAATACTTTATCTTTGCATAAGCTGTATTCAAAAAGGACCATAATTTTTCGGCAAAAAATAGTCTAAAGTAGTAAGGAGGTCAAATTTGTTTTTATCGTTGATTAAAAGTGGTATATTACAGTTTTAGCCCTAGACATGAAATGACTAGCAAGAATTTTTTTTTTGGTATGAGTTATGGAACATCACAATAAAGTTCTATTTCTATTCTGAGACCACCATTGGGTCCTAAGGGTATAACCAAGATGCTTCATTAGGTCAGGGATATCTTTTTCTCTGCTATATCCTCGGCAACTAGAATGGTACTTAATACATAGTATGTATTAAATAAATATTCGTCAAATAAGTTAATGAATACTTTCATACCCTCAAAAGAAATCCAAATTTTACCCCATTACATCAAAAAATATCCACAAAATATCATGTGCACATGCTATTTTGAGGACTTGATATAATGAAAACTAACCCACTTAATAACATTGATATGAACCAACACATAGAATTTCAGAAAATTAACTGTACTATCTCAACAGAATTTATAAAATATCTAATAAAATGTAAATCAGGCTATTAATATAGCAATGGTGTGATTTTTCTGAGAGAGAAAAAAAGAAAGAGAAAGAGAGAGATGGACTTATATTGAAGGAAAAGATTTTGTTTACAGACAAGAAGAGTTTTAAAACTCTTCGAATGTTTGGAAGGAGGAAACTGTATGATGTATCTGAAAGAATCATGAAAAAAATCATAAAACATTACCTAACCAAATCCAGAAAAATACATGAAAATAATAATATGTCATGACCAAGTAGAGTCTATACCAGGAATCCAAATATGATTCAATGCTAGAAAAATAAAAAAAGAAAAAGAAAAATCAATGTAATTCACCACATTAACCAATTAAGAAAAATTATATGATCGCCTCAGTACATGCAGAAAGGTATATTATAACTCAACCACCATTCTTCATTCAAAATGAAACCTTGGAACCATTAACTTGATATTTTAGCCTGAAAGTCCAAACCCTGATCATTTAAAAATACAGAAAAAGGGGCTGGGTGCAGTGGCTCATGCCTGTAATCCTAGCGCTCTGGGAGGCCAAGGCAGGAGGATTGCTTGAGTTTAGCAGTTTGAGACCAGCCTGGGCAAGAGCGAGACCCCGTCTTCACTAAAAATAAAAAAATTTAGCCAGGAATGGTGTTGCATGCCTATAGTCCCAGCTACTCGGGAGGCTAAGGCAGGAAGATCCCTTAAGCCCAGGAGTTTGAGGTTGCTGTAAGGCAGGCTGACACTGCGGCACTCTAACCCAGGTGACAGAGCGAGACTCTGTCTCAAAAAAAAAAAAGGTAAGCTTGAAGATAGGTCAATAGGAACTTCTAAAACGGGGGGAAAAATGGAGGGGGAGGGAGAGAGAGAAAAAAATAAAAAGATAAAATAGAATATTCAAAAACTGTGAGACGATTACAAAAAGTGTAACATGAATGCATAGGAATAATAAAAGAAGAAAGAAAAAAAAGAACAAAAGAAATATTTGAAATAGTGATAAATGAGGATTTTCCTAAATTAATGACAAATATCAAACTACGGGTCCAACAAACTCAAAGAACACCAAGCACAATTAATACCCAAAAAATCCACCTGTAGACAAATCATATTCCAATTGCAGAAAATAAAGCCAAAGACATGGAGACAGAAAGTAGATTGATGGTTTCCAGATGATGGGAAGGGTAGCAGGGAGGGGGGGATTAAGTGGGGATGGTTAATGGGTACAAAAATATAGTTAGATAGAATGAACAATATTTGATAGCACAACAAATTGACTATAATCCACAATAAGTTAGGGTATACTTTAAAATAACAAAAAGAGTGGAATTGGAATGTTCCTAACATAAAGAAATAATAAATGCCTGAGGTGATGGATACCCCAATTATCCTGATTTGATTAATTCACATTGTATATCTATATCAAAACATCACATATACCCTATAAAGATATATAACTATTATGTACCCATAATAATTAGAAAGAAAAAAGAAAATATGAATAAAAACTAGGGAGGGATAAATCATTAAAAAAAAGAAATACAGATTATTTTTAAAAAGCCAAGTAGGGACTATTTCCACTCAGTAATAGTATCTATCGAGTTTCGGTAAAAATGGGAGAAAATAGGGACTTTTTCCTGGAAGCAATTTGGTAGTATTTAGTAAAATTAAAAATATGCACATATTTTATAGGTACATTCCTTATATGTTAGTGTTCCAGGATACATGAATTAAGACATTCACTACAGCATGGTTTTTAAGAGTGGAAACTGGAAAAATCTAAGCATTCAGCAATAGGGGACTAGACAAATAAAATGTGGTATGTTCATGTGAGGGACTCGTACGACATCTAAAAGAAATAAACTATATCTATCTCTAACCTATGTTAAATCTATTTCAAATATATAATATTGAGTTTAAAGACTTCAGAATGATAGGTACAATATGATATCATGTACATAAATTAAAACACAAAATATACTATGTTTATAAACATAAATAAGTAAAATTATTTTTAAAACTGGGCAGTAGACACATTAAACTCTTCATCAAGGAAGTTTTGGGTGGGGGAGCAGAAAGGTGAATGAGACTTGAGGGTATTGATTTAGTTACCTGGGTCTTAACCAGTAATGTTTTAGCCCTTTAAAAAAGAAAACTAATATATGATTTAGAAAGTTAACTATTGTTATTTCCATATGAGAATAAGATTGTTTATTTACTATTCTTTGTATTTTCCTAGATTTTAAAAATTTCTCAAAGTTTAAAATAAAAATCTGTTACACTCCAGGCCCATTAAATAAATTTACAAATATTTTCAAAATATAAACTTGAATTAAGGATGTAAGCTGTTGTGTCCATATATCTTAATCCAGATCCGCATACATACAAGGGCATACTATATAGTAAAAATGGGGGAAATAGTCTATGACATGACTCTAACCAAGATTAGTATAGACTTATCTTTGTAGGCAATGGAAACTGCAGATGCTTGAGCAAGTTGTAACATGGTCTGAGCTGTACTTTTAGGGAGTATTCATCTTGAAAACTTGTATAAAGGAGACCGAAATGGAGAGATCGTTTTGGAGACAATTAAAGGAGTCTAGATAAAAAATTATGTATTAATGTTTAAAAATGGAGTAATAAACATGGAAAGGAAACAGTGACTCTCATTTCTCTCTTTACCTCCTTAACTATTACATCCAAACACCGAAAGTACTTTAAAAATGTTGACTAAGCACAAGATATGTGATCTTAATTCTTAGCTCCTCAATGGAAATATTCTCATTAATTTTGAAAATTAAATAATTAGTATTTTTAAGTAAACTATCCATAGGTAAGTTTTAAGTCAAACAGGTATGAACTTGATGTTGCTATTTTGAATATTCATCT